ATTGCCAAGATTGTTTGATCATGCCTTTTTTTTTTTAACTTCTCACAAATTAAGAACCCAGAAGGCAAGGAGTCTGTCTTATTCAATGCTGCAAGTATTTCCTGAACTAATGAATAAGCAAATGATGACATCATGTTGACTAAGTATACCAGAAAAAAATTTTTTTTTTTTTTCATAAAAAGCCAACGGATATTAAAAAAAATACAGTGAAGCCGGAACTCAGCGGGACTGCCTTGTTTTTCTGGGTCCTGTAAGTTTTCCATCTTTGACAAGGTGCAGTCATACCACTTTCCTATCACTTTCTATTAGTGGAAAATATTCGAGTTTTCCTTCTCTGACAGGTTTCTGCCGTATACAGGTTCTAGCTTTCAGAGGTTTTACTGTACAAATGAGAAAGATATAGAAAAAAATTAATAACTTCAGAAATAACCAGTGTTAACACCTCATTAATAAACTTTTGTATCTGTTCTTCACGTACATGTGTGTATTTTTTTTTCCCTAACAGTAAATATTTAGCTATTTACTTTAATGGCTAAATAAGTATTTGGTTAAGGAATATTAGGATGTGTCATAATTTAACCAGTTTCTTATTTTGGGGCATTTTGTTGATTCCAATCTTTCTCTACCAGTAAAAGGAACAATCTAATAGCTACACTTTTGTCTTACTTACTTCCTTACGATGGAGTCTTAGAAGTAGATTTTCTTACAGGGTCTTTAGAGGGAGCCTGTGTATCTTTTAGATGTATTTCTAACAAGCTTGGAAGGACTGGGAAAGCTTCACAAGGTAAGTGACATCTCAGCTGGGTCTTGAAATATGCATAGGATTTCACACAAGGGAGCCCTGGTGGTGCAGTGGTTAAGAGCTATGGCTGCTAACCGAAAGGTTGGCAGTTCAAATCCACCAGCTGCTCCTTGGAAACCCTATGGGGCAGTTCTACTCTGTCCTATACGGTCGCTATGAGTCGGAATCGACTCAACGGCAATGGGTTTGGTTTTTGTTTTTTTTTCACACAGGAGTATCTATTTGGGGACTGTTTCTATAGTATTAGGGTTTGTGGTTGGGTGGTGGCAGGAGTTAAAATTGTGAAGAAATGTCATGAATCAGATTGCTAAGGAGTTGTGCTTTTATCTTATAGACAAAGTGGTTGTTGTGATGATTATATTAAATGCCAAAGATGCATGTGATGAAGTTACTATATGTATCTTAGCAGTTCAGTATTTTTAATGTAATTTTTACTGATACAAAACATAAATTATAGACTGCACAAATCATTAGTGTATATGTCACTGAACTTACACCCATATAATCAGTACCCAGATCAAGAAAAAGAACATTACCACAACCCCAGAAGTCCTCCCATGCCCTTCCAGTCACTACAACTCTTGCCAAAGGAATAAGGATAGATTTTATGATGTGATGAAATTTGTGTTTTAGGAAGACAACTCTGGCTGGAGTATATGGAATGGCCTGCACTGAAGAGAGAATGATGGCAAGACACCAGTTAGGAAGATTTTGCATTATTTCAGTGGTTTAAGTGAAAAATACGGGCCTGGGAATGGAGAGTATAATATTCATAGTGATGACCCTAGGTCACAAAGAAAAGACTAAGTTATGTTGTTAATGTTGTAAATATTTTCTTAAAAATAATTTTTAAAAGTTTTAGGTTAAGAATAATTAAAAACAGGAGGGTATCTTAGCGCTAAGTACTTAGCTTTTTTCATTTGTATATTTTATAGAAGTAATTATATAAAGGCTTGTTCTTATTGGCTGCTGTCAAGTTGGCACCTGACTCATAATGACGCCATGCACAATGGAGCAAAACCCTGCCCAGGCCTACCCATCCCCATGATTGGTCGCAGATCAGACCATTGTGATCCATAGGATTTTCACTTACTGATTTTTCAGAAGTAGCTAAGCAGGCCTTTCTTCCTAGTCTGTCTTAGTCTGGAAGCTCCACTGAAACCTGTTCAGCATCAGAGCAACACACAAGCCTCCACTGATGGGACGAGTGGTGACTATGCATACTGCATTGGCTGGGAACTGAACCCGGGTTTCCTGCATGGAAAGTGAGAATTCTACCACTGAGCCATCACTGCCCTGTATATAAAGGCTTAGATAGTATGAAATCAATACTGGGCTCGACATGAGAAAAACCCAACAACTCTGTAATACACTTCAGAGTCTATTTTGACATTTCAGGGTAAGAGTTGTAAAATATATTTGACATTGTTAATAATTATTACTCGATTGACTGGCCTCATCTGTTTGTGTGGCTTGGAGTAGGAGAGGAGGTAGAGAAGCTAAATGACTTGCTGGAGACCACACTGCAGAATAGTGGCAAAGTTGGGACTAAAATTTGGGTTTCTTAACTCCCAGTTGGGGCCTTTCCATTTATACCAAAAGGAAAAGAGTTACATGTTAACAAGAGATGGTGTTTACTCCTTCCTGGATCCACAGAACCTCTTTTAAACCATCCTAAGAACAAGCAGTCTTTTTCTTTCTTTCCTTCTCTCCTTCCTTTAAGCCTTTTTTTTTTGCGGGGGGGGGAGGGCGGTGTAAGTCATGGGCACCCCCCCAGATCTCAGAATTAATAGGTTAAGAATATTTTAGTGCTACCCAAAAACAAAGTATACCGTTCTGAATTTTCTTGTCTCTCAAGCTTGGCACACAAGGCATATAGCTGAGAACAGAATGATTTTAGAAAGCAGTACATAGAAGACATGCTGGGAAATGAAAAAGCCAGAATAAAAATAAACAAATCAGTGCTTCTTAAATGAAGACTTCATTGGTAGAAGAAAGAATATAGGTCACAAGGTGAGTTAGCAGAGGTCCTTGATTTCTAATTTTTTAGGATTTCTATCTTGTGATATTCTAAGATACTTACCAAATTATCACTTTTATCATTTTTTAAAAAAATCTAAAAAGCCAAGAGTTAAAGGGTAGGCATAAAGTGACCTTATTTATTCTGTGAGTACATTTCCAGTTCCAGCTGTTAGGCAGACCCAAGATTGCTACTCTATGACACTGTTAAAGTAGGTGTTTGGTAGAATAAAACAAAAGAGATTCATACAGCTTTTGTGCTATCTTCTTATAAATGACACATCTGGCCATAAATGCTAATATTTCAGGAATGGGAAAGATTTGACCTGGTTTCGTTTAATGAGGTTTACTCAAGAATAATGTACATATGTTGTTAGCTGTAGGTTCAAGCATTAGTTCTTGCTCTTACTCTAGAGGTGTTGGTATATAAAGGAGTTACATGGAATTTAGTTTTAGCATGGGAATCTTTCTGGTATAACCAAAAAAAAACCTCGTTGTTGTCAATTCCAACTCATGGCGACCCTATAGGATAGAATAGAACTGCCCCATGCAGTTTCCAAGGAGTGCCTGGTAGATTTGAACTGCTGACCTTTTGGTTAGCAGCTGTAGCTCTTAACCACTACGCCACCAGGGTTTCCATCTGGTATAGCATTATCCTTCATATTCAATTTAAAAATCATGGCGCTCTAAAATCAAAATAACAAAGTGTTAATAGGCTTATACAGGCAGAGTAATAACTATATTACAAGGAACTAAGCAAAGATTATAAATAAGTGTCTATGGTTTGAATCACATACTCTCACTAGGAATGTGTTTTTTTAATTGTGATTTTTCAGTTGATTCATTTTAAACCATTAGAAAATTGTGAGGGAGAAAGGAAGGGGATAGTATCCAGCTTAGATGTATAATTCACTTGGTTACCAGGGAATTTTAAATTACTTTTTCTCTGTTACATTTTAATTTGGTGGACTTAACAGTTTTGTCTCTTCCAGTTTACTTTGTAAAAAAGCATGGCAGTGCACAGATGAGAAAACTGAGGCTCAAATAGGTTGAGTTTTAATATGTAGAGGAGTCTGATGTGTATCCAAGTTTATCTGTCCCCAATATCTATGTTTTTAACCACTATCCTCAGAATAAAATACATTTGGTGTATTATAGAACAATTCTTATGAACACTCATCTCTGCCCACAAAAAGAACTTCTGGAATGCCCATTGTCCTCAATTTCTCTCTTCCTCTCACTCTCTTTCTTTTCAGAGTGCTCTGTAGTTTTTAATGCCGGTGAATATTCTAAAATTATTATTTTTTTCATTTGGAAGAGGATTAAATATGTTGCCAAGGTCATCTAGTCTTATACAGAACTAAATCCTAAACTTAAAGACTACCTTGCAGTATATTATTCAGCTTTTGCATTATAGTTCCTTGAATAATGAGCTCTAGACTGAGCACTGCTTAACAAATCATATGAGCAAGACCCAAAGAATCAAACTTTTCCATGTAGCTCAACTGCATCCCAGAACAAAGCTTAAGAATATTTATAGGAATAGAAAAATATCCAGCACCCAACCAGATAAAATTCACATTGCCTTGTATCCAATCAAATCAAACTCCTGGAGATGAAAATGACAATGTTTGAGATTAAAAAATTTACTGAATGGAATTAATGGCAGTTTAGACATTGTAGAAGATTTATGGACTTGAAGAAATAGCAATAGAAACCATCCAAATGAAACACAAAAAAATGAATTAAAAAAAAAAAGACCATCAATGAGCTGTGGGACTAACATCTAGAGGCTTCACATAGGTAAATGGAGTCCCCAAAGAGAGGAGAGAGAGGTGGGGACATGAGATATTTGAAAAATAATGCCCCAAGTGTTCTAACTTTGATGAAAACTACTAACTCAAGAACCCAAGAAGCTTCTTGCATCCTAAGCATGTGCACACACACCCACAAACACAGAAGAAAAACTTCACCAAGGCCCATCATAATCACATAGTTCAAAACCAGTGACGGATGACAGGAGATTCTCATCAGGAACACTGAAGTGAAAAGACAATGGGCCATCTTTAAAGTTCTGAAAGAAAAACACCATTAACCTAGAATTCTTAAACCCAGCAAAATATTCAAAAAATAAAGACAAAGATGTTTTCAGGCATAGGAAAACTGAAATAATTTATTGCTAGCAGACCTGCACTACAGGAAATGTTAAAGTCATTCAAGAAGAAGGACAATGGTACCAAACGGAAATACTGATCTCCCCAAAGAAATGAAGAGCACTGAAAATGGTAAGTACATGGGTAAGTATGTAAGATTTTTTCCTTATTATTTAATCTCTTTTAAAAAGAACCAACTGTTTTAAACAACAGTAATTAGAATAAAGGCTGGGAGGGGTGAAATGGAATGTACTATTGTGAGGTTCTTTTGCTATATGTAAAGTGGTATAATATCATTTGAAGGTAGAATGTAGTAAGTTAGAGATGTATACTATAACCCCCATAAAAGGTCCTTGGGTGGCACAAACGGTTTGCTCTTGACTACTAATTGAAAGGTTGATGGTTCAGATCCACCGAGTGGCACCATGGAAGAAAGGCCTTACAGTTTGTTTCTGTAAAAATTACAGCCAAGAAAACCCTATGAGCAGTTCTACTTTGTAATACGTAAGTTGTCATGAATCAGAATTGACTCAACAGCAATGGGTTTGGTTTTGGTTTTTATAACACCTAAAGCAACCAGAAGAATAACAAAAACAGTTATAGCTAATAAGTCAACAAAGGAGATAAAATGGAATCATAAAATACACTTAATCCAGGGGATTCTGGGAAGATGGTTCCATGAGTACATCTAAGAACCTGACCCTTCTCACACAACCACCAAAAAAGGCAACTAGAAGTTTGTAATCAGCCCTGTGAGAATTCTGAAATGGTGGGCAAAGGCCTACATCAAGGAGCTTCAAACTGAATCATAATAAGGTTGAATATCACATGGTAGGAAAAGCATTTCTTCCACTGCTCCCGCCTCTCCCCCTTCAGTGCAGCACACAGCTGCACCAGATCTGTAGCCTCACCACATCCCCAGCCCACTCATGGCTTGCATGTGCACAGGGAAAGGCCCTGACCTCTGGCTCCAAAATAAACAGAACAGATCTCTCTGGCAGACTGTTCAGGGTGTTCCTGCCCCTCCTCATCCTAGCACTGCAGATGGATGGCTGCTGTGGAGCCAGATACACCCACACCCCCAGCCAATACACAGCTCTCCTGTGCACTGGGAATGGCTCCAATCTCTGGTTCTGAAAAAAATAGGGCAGATCTTGCTAGTAAACTGTTCAGGGTGTATATTCTGTCCAGTCCAGAGGCGTTTTAGTAAAAGTTTGAAACCACAGTCTGGCTGAAACAGTGAGGGGGCAGTAACTAAGGATTGAAGACTGTGCCCTCTCTGAGGGCATATTCGTTAGAGTGTGTTCTTGATTTGTCTGGGAGCTGCTGAAGGACAGAAACCTGGCTCTGCTCTGAACCAGAGAGATCTTAGGGAGAGACAGGGAGTAGTAAGCCAAGTCTGAAGGCAGTGCCTGCCTTCAGTGTTTTTTTGCAGGAATCAGCACTGTCAAAAACACTATATATTTGGAGGAATTGAGAAAGCTAACACCTTGTAAAATTCAGATGTCCCAGATTCAACAACAACAAAAAATCACAAGGCATACAGAGAAACTGGAAATGATGGCTGACTGAAGTGAACAAGACAAAAGGACAAAAATCATATTTTTGGAACCACGAATAATGAACAGATTGGAAAACTATAATACAGCAATATTAAATAAGCTCAAAGAACTAAAGAAAATCGGGAAGATGATGCATGGACAAAACAGGAATATACATAAAGAGATAGACACTATAAAAAGAAACCAAACAAATACTAGAACTGGAAGAAAATGACTGAATTAAAAAACTCACTGGAAGGATTTAACGAAAGATTAGAGCTGGCAGCAGAAAGAATCCATCAATAAGGTAATCAAAATTATGGAGGCTGAGGAGCAACAAGAGAGACAGATCAAGACTGGTGAGCATAGGCTAATGGAAATGTGGGACACCATCAAGCAAACTAACATCCACATCATGGAAATTTTTTATGGATTGACCTGTGTCCCCTAAAAATGTGTATCAACTTGGCTAGGCTATGATTCCCAGTATTGTGTGGTTGTCCACTATCTTGTGATCCGATGTCATTATCTTATGTGTTGTAAACCCTAACTTCTATGATGTTAATTAGGCAAGATTAGAGGCAGTTATGTTAGTGAGGCAGGACTCAATCTACAGGATTAGGTTGTATTTTGAGTCAATCTCTTTTGAGATATAAAAAAAGAAACCTCATACCACCAAGAAAGAAGCACTGGGAGTGGAGCATGTCCTTTGGTCCCGGGGTTCTTGTGCTAAGAAGCTCCTACATCAGGGGAAGATTGATGACAAGGATCTTCCCCAGAACCAAAAGAGAAAGCCTTCCCTTAAAGCCAGCACCCTGATTTTGGACTTCTAGCCTCCTAAACTGTGAGAGAATAAATTTCTGTTTGCCAAAACCATCCACTTATGATATTCCTGTTATAGCAGCACTGGATAACTAAGACAGTTGCAGAAGGAGATGAGAGAGAAACGAACAGAAAAACTATTTGAAGAAATAATGGCAGAAAATGTTCCAATTTGTGAAGGACGTGGATCTACAAATCTAAGAAGCTCAACAAACTCCAAGTAGGATACACTGAAAGAGATCCACACCAAGACGCATTATATTCAAGCTCTCAAAAACTAGAGATAGAGAATCCTGAAAGCAGTAAGAGAGAAGCAAATAGTCACATACAAAGGACCCCAATATGATTAAGTGCCAATTTTGCCTCAGAAACCTTGGAGGCACAAGGCAATGAAATGGCATTTAAAGTGCTTAAAGAAAAGAACTGTCAACCAATCAGTTTTGCTATGTCTAGCAAAACTGTCCTTCAGGAATGAGGGTCAAATTAAGACATTCCTAGATAAACAAATGCTGAGAGAGTTAATAACCACCAGCCTAGTTCTAGAAAAATGCTAAAGGGAGTCCTTCAAATAGGAAAGAAAGGCCACTAGAAAATAACTTGAAGCCATGCATAGAAAAAAAGATCTCCATTAAAGGCAATTGCATGAGCAAGTATAAGGGCAATTTCCTTCATGCTTTATACAACAAATACATAAAAAATAAGCATACATTTATGTTACAGAGTACATGATGTATAAAGATGTAATAGGTGATGCCACCAACATAAACGGGAGAGGAACAGAGTGGGTATCAATTAGGTATCACCAGTTAAGTTGGTATTAATATAAGCCAGGTTGTTATACGATGGTTAATACAATCCTCATGGTAACCACAAAGAAAATATCTAAGAAAATACACACAGAAGGGAATCAAAGTGGTTCACTGTAAAAAAAATCAAGAAAACACAAAAGTTGGCAGTATTGGAGGAATTGAGGGAAAAAGAAGGTGTATCACACACACATACACACACAAATAACAAAATTGCAGAAGTACGTCCGTCCTTATGGGTAATTACCATGTGAGTAAAGGGAGTAAATGCTCCCATCAAAAGGCAGACAGCGGCAGTATAGATTAAAAAAACAAGATCCAACTAAATGCTGTCTGTCTAAGAGACACGTTTTAGGCCTAAGGACACAGATAGAAAGTGAAAGGATGGAAAAAAAATATTCCATGCATTGAGTAACCAAAAAAGAACTGGGGTGACGATTTTAGTACCAGACAAAATAGATTTTAAGTCAAAATCTGTTATAAGAGACAAGGACATTAAATAACAATGAGAGACTTGGTTCATCACAAAGATACAGCAATTGTAAGTATATATACACTGAACACTTTCAGTAATTGAGAGAACATCTAGAAAGAAAATCAGTAAGGAAATTGAGGACCTGAATGACCCTATAAACCAGCTAAATCTAACTGACATGTATAGAATACTCCAACCAACAACAGCACAATATACTCCAGTGCACATATGGTCTATCCTGCATTGTACAGGATAGACCATATGTTAGGTCACAAATCATACAAAGCAACTTCTCCAACCACAATGGAATTGAACTAGAAAGTAATAGCAGAAAACTATAAAATACACAAATATGTGGAAATTAAACAAGACACTGTTAACTAATGGGCTGAGGAAAGAATCAAGAATCAGAAAATAAATCATATTGAATGAAAATGAAAAAATAACATACCAGAACTTATGGAACCATGGCAAATTCATAGTGGTTAACACCTACATTGAAAAAGATGATCTAAAATCAATAACCTAACTTTAAAACTTGAGCAACCAAAAAAAAAAAAAAAAAAAAGAAGAGCAAGCCAAGCCTAAAGCTACCAGCAGGCAGGAGATAAGAAAGATCAGAGCAAATGTAAATGAAATGGAGAAGAGAAATAATGAAACCTAAAGTTGGTTTTTGGAAAAGATCAATAAAATCAACAAACCTCTTAGACTGACAAAGATAAAAGCCACAACATGCAGTTGTCTAAAATCAGAAATGAAAGTGGGGACATTATAACCGACTGTACAGAAAATACTATGAACAACTGTATGCCAATAAATCAGACAACCTAGATGAAATGGACAAATTCCTAGAAAAACATAAACTTCCTACACTGAGTCATGAAGAAATAGAAGATCTCAATAAATCTATAACAAGTGAAGAGACTGAATCGGTAATCAAAAACCTCCCTTAAAAGAAAAGTCCTGGACCACATGGCTTCACTGGGGAATTCTGCCAAACATTTATATAAGAAGTGACCCCAATCCTTCTTAAACTTTTCCAAAAATATAGAAAAGGAGGGAATACTTTCTAACTCATTGTATGAGGCTAGCATTACCTTGACACCAAAGCCAGACCAAGACACCACAGGAAACCTATAGACCAGTATCCCTTATGAGTATAGACACAAAAATCCTCAACTTAAAATACTAGCAAACAGAAACCAAAAGCATATTAAAAAGGATTATACACCATGATCAAGTGGGATTTATCCCATGAATGCCAGAGTGATTCAGCATTAGAAAACGAATCAACGTAATACACCATATCATCAGAACAAAGGAAAAGAGCCACACGATCACCTCAATTGATGCAGAGAAGGCAGCTGACAGAATCCAATACCCTTTCATGATAAAAACATTTAAGCTAAACATAGAAATTCTTTTATTATTATTATTATTGTTATACTTTAAGTGAAAGTTTACAATTCAAGTTGGTCTCATACAAAA